GGGGGGGGTTGTAGGAAGACTTACCTTTGTGTTCATATATAACCTGCCCAGCATTAATGAGGGCCTGTGTAAAGCTTGAAATAGGCCTGTAGGTATTATTTAGCAGGGCCACACGGCCATTGGTTGGCTGTGTTATACTGTACGTGAGAAACTCTGGCCCAGTGTCTACATCCTCAGCCTGCAGCACATCTGGTGTAATGACTGTGATGGAGCGACGCCACACGTCCAAACCAGAGTTGACCACTATCTGCGGGCTCTGATCGTTGATGGTCTCAACTCGAATAAACATGATTGCTGTGTTACTCTCCTTTCCTTCATCTACTATCCTGGCTTGTACAGTCATTTGATCTGATGACATTTCTCCGTTATCATGCACGAAGAAAATGGCACCCTGTTGGAGGTCATCTGATGAGAATGAAGTCAATCGCTGTAGCTGTCCCCTTGCCCTCACATGCTCCACCCAACCTTGGCGGGCCTGATTAATTATCTCAAATACAGTATCCTTGCCATCATAGTAGCGCCCCTGTAGTCTCAACATGGAAGGAGTTAGCACTTTTCTGCCTCCCTCTCGTACTGTCAAGTTTTGTATATAAAGGTGCAGTGTGGTAGGAATGGCTTGTATGATAAACTCCAAGCCTCGTAGGGTCTGAAAGCGATTGGTTACCTCAAACATGAAGGAGTCTTGTTCCAGTCCTTCCCTTGAATGACTGTACTTTACCCGACCTTCGTTGACTTCAGCTTGTGTGAATGAAGTTCTACCTGATCGGTTGTCCACCAGCAATTCACCGTATTGAGGAGATGTTTTGACAACAAACACAATCATTGATGGCAGGCTGTCAGTGTGACTGGCAAGGAGGACAGATTGTGTTAGGGTGGCCACACCTGTCTCCATCACCTCAAGGATCTCGTTATGGACAATCCTTGGAGGATGTTGTCTGGACTTGATGAACACACGAATTGCAAACTGGCCCTGCACTTGAACATTTCCAGCAACAGCTGCAAACTTAAACATGTCTTCATTTACGCTACTACCCCTATTGGTATACATGACCCGACCGCTGATCAGGTCATCCAGTGTGAACTCTGTGACCACCTGCTCACCAATGGTCAACTGGCCATATAAGGGCTCCTCTATCATGACAAACCTGATGAGGTCTGGGGTAATGTTAATGTTTGTCTCTACACTCAGGTTTTGGGAAGTGATGGGTGTGGCCTGTCCATTGTTGACCAGCAGACCAGTGTTCCTTGACAGACTGATCTCTGGGGTGGAGGCCTGAATCTCCAGCAAGCTGGTTGTGTAGTACTGACCATCGCTCACCCAAATGACTGTCCTGCCGTAAGGGTCACCCGAGTGCTGGAAGGTTATAAGTCCATCCTTAATGTCCTTCTGGGAAAACTGGTAAGTAGTTGTCTTATTAGTTGTGTACACAATTTCTCCATTTGGAATTCCCCGTCGAGTGTACATGAGCTGGTCAGTGTCGTAGTCAATGTCTGGGTCAGTAAATGCAAGGTCGTCCAAGGTTATGACCTTCTCCTGGTCAGTCACCACTCCGAGCACCTTATCCACCAATCGGACAGGAGGGTTGTCATTCCTCATCATGATGTTGATTTCTAGAGTATCTGATATCTCATTGACTTGTGTTGGTAGCTGGTTTAGATTTTTTATTATTGGTAAGGCAGTAAATGTAAAAGAGTCTGTATCTGTTTCAGAGTCATCATGTTTGTAAACTAATTTTAGATTTCTGACATCTTCGTTTGTGAACCTTGATATGTTAGACTTCATGACTGCCGTTGAATGAGGGTCAACAATCTGCAGGACACCATGTTTGGGGAACCTGACAAGCGTATACTCAAACTCCCTATAGTCCATGGTTTCCAGGTACAGATGGCTACGTTCTATTGCCCGCTGTCCGCCCTCTATCACATCCTCCAGGCGATTGATGACGAATCGAACATCCTGTTCCTCAGGCACAAATTCCATATGAAAGCGCTTTATTTTTGGCCTTGCACCTGGGGCAGATATCTTAAGGTCCATAAAATCGTGTCTGCTACTATAATAGTTGCGGGACAGCTGGTAGACCAGACCACCTTTCTCTATATCCTGAAGTGTGAACACACTGCTCTTATGTAGTGGCTCTGTGCTGGAGAAGACCTTTGACAATGGCATATTGTTAGGAGCCTTGTACAACTTGCCATGGATTGGAGCACGAAGTAGTGTAAAACTGATCTCATTCTGAGCCACATTCTCATTGTTAGTTAAAACCCACAGTTCATTAGATGTTATCTTTTTGTAGTTACCCTTCACAATTCTGATGGTATCTGAAGTAACCACATCGATGCTGACCGATTCCAGTTCGATGGTGAATACCTGCCGTCTCATTTGTTGATCCATACAGGACACGATAAAGGCAAACTGATCTGACCCCCTCAGATTCGTCAGGTCTGTGTGTATGTACCTCACCTGGCCCTTATTGATATGGCGTTGGGCAAAGGTACTGACGGGGATCCAACGCTCCTCGGCTAAATGTAGTCGTTGTATCTGACCGTAGGATGGATGTTGAGTAATTTCATATTGTATTTCTAGATCCTGAGTTGGAACGTTAGTCTCCACAAGCATGTTTTCCTGGCTGAACACAACAAAACTGCCATGGACCAGCCTGGCTCCCTCATTGACCGTCCGTTGTATTGAAAGAATGACCCCTTCCATCTCTAAAGCAATGTCATTAAGAAAGTTGGAACCATCTGTCAAACTCATCTGACAAGAAGTGAGAGACTCCCCTTTGTTGGCGAACCAGATCATATTCTCCGTTACCTCCTGTTGTGTAAATGTACTGATTGGCTGATCAGGATCACTGTATCTCTCAAAGAATCCCTGTGAATTTGTAGTGCACATCACAGTGTAAACAAGGTTATCGGGCTCCGTGTCTGGATCATCCACCATCAACATGGTCTCGGATACAGGAATCTTGGTAGTTTTAACAAGTTTGATAAGGCCATTATTCAGAATTGTTAGAACTGGTGGATCTGGAACAGGTATAATTATGATGGGTAGAACAAAAGCATATCTTCTTATAAGTTCTTCTGGAATGTTTTCATTGTCAGATATAACATCCATCTCTAAAGTTACTTCATCAGCTGGTGACTCAGATCCTTCGTGTTGATAATAAATCTTATTCCCTTGAAGGTCCAGCAGGGTAAACACATTGCTGTTTCGTCGTCGCCCGAGGGTGTTTTCTATTCTGCCGTTACTAGGCTGAGTGACAATATGAAACTGAATGGCAGATTCACGGATACCATAAGATTGGTGATCAAACACCACTTTGATATTGTCCGTAGTGATCACCTGTTGTGACCCCTCCTTGACCTCCAGAGCATGGACAGCTATGATCTTGACCTCCTCGGTCGAACCCCGCCCCTGGTCAGCTGCAGCATCCTGCTGTGAGGGGACCTTTCTTACTCCCTGACAACTGTCAACATCACAAGAACATCTGAATGTGTTTCCCTCTTCCACGCAGATCTCCTCGGGAGAGCAGGGGTCAGCAGAACAAGGAAACATCCACTCACATGTGCTGGACACACTCTCACTTATCTGGATGTGTGGGAAGCCAAGTGGACGTGAGTTAATATGAATGTTTCTCACACAACCTAGTGTAGAGCTGACTTTGGTTCCCTGAATAGACTTGAGATTCTTTCTGATGGCCTTTTCTGTTCCATGTAAGCCCACTCCTCCTATAAATAGATGGCCTCTTAGCGAGAAATAGTTTTTACTGCCAGGCTGGAAGTTGCCCCTTTCCTCTCCACCATCTACCTCAAGCATAACATGATCAGCATACAATCGTACCTGGACCTGATGCCACCTGCCATCACTTACAAGTGTATCACTCTTCACAGTTATCTCCCCTTCCCCACGGTCCACTACTAACTGAATGCGTTTCTCCACCAGCTCCACTGCCACAAGGCCAGCTCTAGTGGATCCATGACCACTGTTAAACACCAGCAGTGATGTGTGGGACTTAGTCTTTAATTCCAGAGACAGAAAACCTTGACTGCTCACATGTAGATGTGGAAATGCAACAAATGAGGTGTTTGTTGTAAAGCTAATGGGGTCGGTGATGGTGGCATCAAATTCCTCATCACAATCCCACGACACCTTGAATGTCTTCTCCATACCCTGTAACATTTGTGCCGCACTGATGATGTTGTAACGATTGAACACAACATTGCTCATACACCCACGGAAATATTTATACTCAATGCCGGATGGAGCTTGAAAACTACCAGTTCCCCCTAAATATATTGCATTTTGTATATTCAGTTCAAATAACTGCCCGGGACTGACAGCACTCAGTTTGTTGCCAGTGTCCACTTGTAGTGTGTTGACAGCATTGTTCCTGGTAATGCTGACTTGGTGCCACCTCCCATCACTCAACCGTACATCAGGACTAGAGTTGAGGACAACCTCTCCTGAGCCAAAATCTGCTCGCAGCTGCACCACCCCGCCATTGAGAGAGACAGAGAAGTAGTCAATGGCCCCTGCTGCCAGCAGGAGGAGGCCATCTTGCCGTCGAGTCTTGAAACGCAGCTGTATAGCCGTCGATGAGGAGGCATCAGAGAACGGTAGGCTCACATGGCTGTCCCCATAGAAGGAGGCTGGAAAACATAAACAACAGTACCAGTGATTAGTACAAAATATCAACATGTCAAACTATAGCATAGTAGGGATCATTCATATTATTTACAGAAGAATTAAAGTAAACAGTATAAAGGTTTACGTATAACACACACTGCCCGTGATTTTTGTAGGAGCTATTTTCCTTCATAATTTTTCAATCTGTTGTATTTTTGTGTATCTTCCAAACATGTAATAGTGTTACTATTTGCATTTTCAAACATGGGGTCAGGAGTAAATGAATAATTCATTTATACATATATATATATATAACACTGGTTTGTGAGAAGTAAGCCCAAAAGTTTAGGGTCTAAAGCAATTTATTTTTTATTTTGATACACAAGAAGCTCAAAGAGCCTATATTGCTCACATGGATTTACTTTAAAATATCACAAATATTTCCCTGTCTGCCTCTCAATGCCAAATGATGTAAAACCCTTCCTTTATGTAATAATTTATCTCCTACTTCAAAGGATATACATCATAGCAAAATTGGTTTAAATCAGTCAACTTCAGGCCAGGTGAGTAATTATATTTATCCCATAATGTACTGCGTTATCCTGTGAATATACCCATTTCATACTTTTTTGCATTTTAACCCATGTAATATGACCTATCAGCCCGTTGATTGGTTGGAAGTTTCAATTGTGACGTCACGCTAGGGACAAGTACAAAGCGTCACAGACTAACACACTGGAGTCAAAATGGCGGCTTTTTACATTTTAATATTGCATGAAAATTATCGTTTTACACGAATTAATGCCACAAATATTGATTATGTGATTTTAAAAAGGATCTTACACTCATTTTCATTTCATATGAAATTTATGAAACTCGTTACAAATTTTTCATTTTAGCTTGCCTAATTGAAAAATTCTGAAGACTCGTTTCATAAATCTCATATGATATTAAAAAGAAAACAAGGTCAAGGCAACTATGTCCAAATTTGTTTAATTATGTCCATATTATCATCCATTTCTTTATCTAAAGGTTTCCCAATGTGGAACTCTGTCAGAAAAGAAATATATACATCACATTACAATTTTTTATACTCATGCATTCAGAACGTGGTTTGGCTTCCGGCCAGGGCAGCTAATTATAAAACCATATAAATTTATAAAGGAATCCATGAAATGATGTTTTTTCAGTATTTATATACATCTACTACTGAATATGAGCTGCAGACTTGTACCATACAAGATCTGTTTGAAGACCAGATTGAAAGAAACATAAAAGTATATATAGGCCTTTGTATTAAATCAATGCATACATGTACGTATACAAACAAACACTTATATCTCATTCTTTTATGTGGCATTCAACCTTACGGAAATATCATGTTCTATCAGAACCTACTTACATCATATACATACGTACATAATCATGTACAAATGCTCAAGTACATACTTGACCAAGTTAAAGTGGATACCTAATTAAATAAGTCTGTATCCTGTGTGTCCTTTCTTAATTAAAATCATTAACTTCCGCTTCCTCTGTGCAATATCTAAAGAAGTTACACCAAATATTTAGGTTAAAATACTTTTTTAATTTTTTGGAATTCCTGAAAAGTGTAACTTTTGCTATGAAATAGTTTGAAACAAACAGTGGTGTACAAATTCCCAAATGTTTGTCATGCATGGCTGTAGGCCACAGGCCACAGTACATTGGATTACATATATACTAGAACTTAGAAATTAATTTGTACAGTATACATTTACATGATTTCATATATATATAATGCACATTCCTACACTTGTATCATTTGAAAATGTGTACATGTATGTAAGTAACCTTTCACAAAATATAAAGTATATATATATATATGCAATGTCAGAATTTTTAAAGTTCAATTTTACATTTTTTGAAAACTGCCCCTTTTGTAGCTAGCCTTTATACACATGCATTAAAGTCTGCACATTGTCTCAGAAAATTTTGTGTTCTAATTAATAACTAACATGAGTTAAAGATATGTTATGAGAATTACAACAGTGTTTGAAACGATCGAGGCATTTCGTTGCCATATCAAGGTTTTAATGCAATCTTTTTACACATTCCACAAAAATTGTTATTTAAATATCTTAAATTGGGATATGAATATTGTTAATCCTAAAATTGTTAATTGTAAATATGAGGAACATGGGATCCCAGATGGATCTTGGCGCCGACCAATGCAAAAAATCTTTGTCAGTTCTAAAAGACTATGTACATCAAAGCTTGACCTTTTTTGACCTTTACTCTTTATATATTATCTGTTTGAATAGGATCATGATTCATTTGGAAATTTTAATCAAAACTTCACACGGCTGTGTTTAAGACCTTTCTTTTTTTCTGATAAAGATGAAAATGAAACATGCGCAACTAAGAACCAGGAGAAGCCTAGACAGGATATTCAAGCGAAATCCATCCTGTACTAGGAGAATAGCAATTGACAATTTTTAGTTGTCAAAACAAAAAATTGGCTCCTGGCAGCCATCTTACTTTTGCTATTGAATTTTCATTGGTATGAAACTTTGACATTTATTACAATATAACAGTACTGCAATTGCAGACAACTGACAAGATATATTGTTTTATCAAATGACAATTTCGGTTATTTCACTAGTAAACATTTTATAAAAAATACAGCTGACTACAATACTACATTGCCACCCATGTACACTGACAGTCAGTGTCTTGAAATTTATTTTGTTACTTCAAAATGAAATGGATGTCCATTTACGGTCCAAAATTGGTTGGTTTCAGAGTTGTAGCAGCATGATTTACATAATCTGTAACAGAATGGCACCATTCATACGGAAATATTTTAACCCTGGAAATACTAAGGACTGTATGGACAGAATAAAACAGGGACTGGTGATAGACACTTTAACCAAATTGGGCTACCTTGTCACCAGCAATAGACCCAGTCCTGTTCCGCTACATTTCTCCCCCTTCAACAAATTCTTCTACCCTAAAGCCACACGGAGAGATCCTATATCATCTAAGCTTCCATGGTTACATTGACTTTGACGCCAAATTGTTACAGGAAAAGAAAATCATAAATGCACTGCCAGACCAGGATTCGAACCCTGGACCTCCTGAACTCTAGATGGGCTCTCTTAACAAATAAGCTACCTGGTCACCGGCAATCAACCCAGTGCAGTTTCACTACATTTGTATCAACTGTAAAAACTCTGCTGTAGGTCGTGACTAGGGGAAAATCACTATACAAATAAGGGCTTCATCGTTGTAACTGAATTAACTTTTTTTTCCAAAGTTCTACATACTACATATTTGTGCATAAACTTTCCAAAACTAACAGCTATATATATATATAAATCTTAATTTGATTATTTTTTTCTTCCTCTTCAATTTAAGGTAATTTAATTATGCTCATATTAAAATAATTTTGGTGTCATTGACCTGTGGAAGCCAACCAATATATATCAATGGTGATTGTATTTTTCTGTCACCAGCTTCAAACTAATTTATTTTAATGACATAAATTCAGATGCTTTGATATTCTAAAACACTACAAGGAAGGAAGACTGCATTGTCCGTCAAAACTGGTGACATCGCTTTTCTCAAACTACAATTCATCACACGGTCTTGTTGACATTGATTGGAAAATAAGTTATGATACGTGAATGTTCGGTGGGCTGTCTTGCATTAGATATGGCACGTGCCTTGTTTGCCACAAGTAAACCCTCCCAGCTTATATATACTAATTTTCATCTTTCACTTTCAGTCACGATCAATGTCAACAAAACTCTGCGCTTTCACAACAGTCTAATTATGCAGTCCCGAGATTCATGTTTATAATGTAAATATGTTAGTGAACGTGATCGTTTCTAGACTACTTTAATGCGGATCGATGTAATGAACTATGCATGAGATAAACGTCCTTTCCCCCCTTAGTTGACTTCCCTAGCAATACACACTGGTCATCAGCAACACGCATCTGTCAAAACACCCTCCCCCCTTTCTTCTCTAGTGCAATACACAGCATGTCGCTCACCTGTTTCTGCAGCACGGGGTAAACACATGAACACAAGAATAAATGCAGCATGGTTAATAGCCATTTCTGCAACTCTCGGTTTTATCCTGCAGACTCTATCATGACTGTGGAAGCGATCAGATCGACAATAGCCCCATGTTATTTGTCAACCCATCGTCCATGTTTTTTGTTCAATCCTCGTTCTCGTTCTAGACAAGGGCAGATAATTCCAAGATCATAGACGACTGGTGAAGCTGAGGTGAAGTCAGCAATTCTCGTCTAAATATAATTCAACGATTGATTGGAAATTGTGTTGACTTTAAAGTGACACAAGGTAATTCTATAACAGAGGATACGAAGAAATGTTGGTATTTTTTAATTTTAAAAGGATATGTCAGAACTTATTATATATTTCTATCTATATATAGATGTACATTATATGTTAGCTAATAAGTTAAGCAACTCTCGTTACACTAGTACTGTTAACTTATAATTATAGGTCTACATAACTGTTACATTTATCAATTTTTAGGTATAAAGTACAGATTAGCAAATGCACAGAACTGCATCCTATAGGCTGTAAAAATATTATAGTGGCCTATAGCTAGTGTTTTAACAACAAAATGCATGGTTGATTAACATATTTAATATGCACTCAAAGAGCGTAACCCCTGATATTTCGTGGATGGAGGATTGCCAGTGACATTTAACGATATAATCCATGTTATCAAATTCCGTAGTGTTGACAATAAATACCAATGCAATAGAAAAGCTAACAAGTTTCAAGTTTTGGTGGCGGAGTACTCTACTAATCAAAGCGGCTACTTGTCACTGAATTAACTAGTGACAATAACAATCCAGTACCGTGGCAAGACCCGTCACGTTAATAAAACCGTCCTCCTGCTGAAACTCTATGGGACACCAAATTAACATATATTAAAATAACCACACTTATCTTCATATATGTTTGGAGATCTCTTTAAATTCAATTAAACCCGTTTTTTAATTAAATATAGGTTCATTACAATTGAAGACAGACAACGTAAGGTGCTTACACAATGGCCAGAGACGTATATATATATATTACATTTACACCCACAGGGCTTTGTGAATTTGTTACAGGTACTTTTGGATCTAATCAAAGGTGTTCAGAGTAATAAGACGTTTTTGGGGTNGGGGGGGGGGGGGGGGGGGGGGGGGGGGGTCTTTTGTTTTACCAAAATTCGACCTGAACCCTACACAAATGTGTAAAATTACTCTGAACACCTCAGTTTATGTTCAAATATAGCTGTAAAAAAGCTCAGTTCCCTGTGCTTACACATAGATACCAGGGGTTTAATCTAGTTTCACAACATGGCCCATAAAAATCTAAAACCTTGCCAGTCGTGTTCTTTACTATATATAGGTAATATCTTCGGTACGCTATTTTAATTACAGAACAATGATTGTGTAACATATACTACCCTTTCGTTGTAATTTGTAGTATTTTCTATAGCCAACAGACCTTGAAGAACAAGGACATTTTGTGACAACTCTGAAGACTTCGTAAGTCGTTTAATCAGTCTTCAATACGATGATTGGAGAAAGATGGTTCATTGGAATGAAAGGAATAGCAACTCATATAAATACCAACGTGTTAGTAGTATAGTTTAACACTTTACCCAACGATGTTTACATCCTTTAAAAATTCGACATATATGTCTCTAGTTCATTTCTTTTTACATCAATGGTGTTCATTGCAAGGCTACGGAGGCAATGCTTTTTATTCTGCGGGTGCTACGAATCCCCCCACCCACCCACCCACATAAAGAAAAAGACTCCTCCCTCCTCCGCTAACATCCTGGCCGCCAACTAGAGTGATTAACATAAGTTGTTTCATAAGTGTCGTAAAATTAATTAAGTCGTTATATTTAATGCATTTTATTCTGAATTTTTGATGAATTTTGATAAGTTATACCAGAGACGTATAAAGCAATCAAGTATATATACCTCTCCGGTTATACCTTGGTACCTATTCCGTCTTTTCGTATTGCAGAGTTATCTGCTCTTGTGAGCAGGTATTGATTGTTACGTCATTAGTTTGCGTGAGAAAATTACGTCGTTTTCTCAAAAATGTATGACGTAACTCTCACAAACAAATGACGTAACAAATACCTGCTCACAAGAGCAGATAACTCTGCAATACGAAAAGACGGAATACCCTGGGAGCTCATTGTGTCTTTCCTTTGGTATTGTTAAGTCCTCAGTTCCTGTTGTCTTTTGTATTTGATGTTTCCTCAGTTCTTATTGTCAGGTTTCGTATCGGCTCCGAGTTCAAATAATACTTGTTGACACTGTAGTGTATTTGTGGCTTACCTGCTAGATATGAAAGCCCATACGTGTTTTCCATGTCTTCTTACGCATTCATAAACTATGATCAACGAAACAAATCTAATTAGTTAACAGAGATATACCAGTACTACAATACAGTTAATATAAATAAAACGCTATTCATTTAATTCAGTAGGTAATTTATTATGAGAGAAAGTTAACAAAACATTTTTTTTCTCTCTCAAAAATCAAGGCATTTGTAACAATCATATATATAGTAGGCAAATTAACTTAATAACTTTTAAGACTTTGCACATCCTCCGACAATCAGCCCGAAACACATCCCACACACGTCCTCAAACATACGACATATATATTACAATCACCAAAATAGACCAAACTTTGTACTGTAGAATTACAATGATTTCGTCTACTAACAAAACTATACACTTCCATTATTGAGATTTTTATTTTATAAATTCAGTGAGATAGAAAACAACAATCTATGCAGTTGGGAGGAACGTCCTCCCTGATGCCGTGAAATGTGCATCTAATTTTGTATTTATGTAAATGTGTTGTAACACAACGTCCATCTTTGTATATGCAGTGTATTTATGACACAAAGACTTGAGTCTATTGCCTAGTGATAACGAAGATTACGATGACTGATCTTAAATTCGATATGTACAAAATCGATACGTACAAAGTACACGATGTATTATGTAAATAACGTACGTCTTTTAACAGTGACAGTTTTAGTTAAGAACTATCGGAGTATGACGTATAGGTACATCGTCAGATATATTCACAGACACAACCGACAGTGACGGTCTTACATTTGGTATCTCTTTGTTTTGTTTGATAAGCGAATGTTCCGGTCCCCTGTCGGCCGCATTCACAGTCACGTACAGTTATACACGTCCGAGGCGCTTAACAGCCAGAAAGTTGGTCACACTGCAATATTCCAGCACAATTGTTTAATGTTGTTCTCCCTGTTTGTAATATTTAACGAAGCACTGACAGCTTTAAATTCATCACAAATAACCAGCCATTCTGGGATATTGATTTTGTATGTATTTTAACGAGATTTTGGATGACCATACAAACTTCATCTCAATCCTATACAAATCACCCTAGCTGTACTGTGGAAGGTGTTGTTTGGAGATCAATACACCAGGTAGAGCTTGACATCCACATCTATATCACATTAAATTCTAAAACAGAAAATCTAACACAAATCCGAAACTCTCCCTGAATACATAATACTGCATGGTACTACTGTATGCATAATTATGTCCACGTAATACTTTACACATAAAGCTGTTTACATAATACAGTATACATTTTTTTTATTTTTTTTTTATAAATAATGCAATTTATCACATAAACGACGAATCTTACTATATTGATATAGTAGCTAGTTTTCAGGCCATTTAATACAATTAAGGTACTGTCTTTCACACTGTGGTGATGCAATATGGTGTACAATGTATTACCCTAGTAGCCAGAAGTCCTTATTGGGTGGAACTCATCGGTCGTTATCCACCGACAAAATCGACGAATTGAAACAAGAATGGGTTCCGAACATTTTAACGTCATTTAACGTATATATACTTCGTACACAATACAGTATACAGGAAACATTGTACATTTATAGTAGTCATAATACTGTATACATAATTCATAATATTATAAAAGTGTAAACACTAAGCTTCTGTCAGCATATTGTAAAGGTGCAAATGAATTCAATATAAACGTATGTGCATCAAACACCAAAAACATTTCAGTCGTAAACTGCTACTCATGTCTCGATATACAACGACACTTGCGATGAATAGTCTATCGGAAATCCTAAAAATAACTGTCGGGAAATAAACTCTGTATAGAGTATCCGTGTCAAATCACATCAATGTTTAAAGACACGTGATCTAGTGACTCCAAGTCTTCCATTTGAATCCCCTCATTATTCTGACACTGTGTAATAGATTGAAGTCTATTGTTCACATATTCGTTATCCACTTCCCTAGTGACCCCGTTGCTGAATGGCATAGTTTCGTTCCTGTTTGTTCGCCTCATGGTTTTAACCGGAAGTTCATATCTCATTTTAGACCAGAATAATTTATCATCCGGGCACATGACCCGTTTATCTTTCAGTCGAGACTTCCAAGGTTCCTCCTGGAGTTGCGCGAACATTTGTTTGTTCCATATGATATATATAACTCTTCCATGCACACTCTCGCTCGAATTGTGTTCATACTCCGCCTGATCTGCCTCAAATATACACCAATCGTCTTTGAGAAACTCGGGGGAGAGGATGAGCAGAATCCTTCGACTCTTACCCATGTTGTCCGATATCTCGTCAGACCGGAAGTTACCAGCTGCATTGTCCCGTTGGAAACAGAAGACTGTATATCTCCTCTTTGACCTTTCCTCGAGCTTCTTGAGAAAGACTCTCTTCATCCACTGCCTTACTTGGATGCTCTCGCCCTGTTCACCTTGATAATAGGAGATGTAAGCGTCGTATTCCTTGTCCGGCTCTTGATCTACTTTGTACTTGTCGCGCGGATGGATATTGAAGAATTTATACAAGAGTACTTTGGTCTCGTATGGACATCGTTTTGCAGTGATACTGACCGCGCCCACCAAGCCGATTACTACACCTAGAGTCACACTTAGTATTATAATAATCTTGTCGTAGCTACAGAGGAGTGTATCCTCAGTGACTGTAGAAATAGGGAGACTCTCCCCGTCATCGTCACAGGTGATCTGTGAATCCTTGGCCTGTGGGGACAGATTTATCCACTCTGCCATCCATGTCATGTTGCAGTCACACAACAGAGGGTTTCCGGAAATACTGACGTTAGAAAATGCAAGGAGCTGCAGTTCTTTGGGGATGTAGTTTATCCGATTATTTTCTACGTTAAGATATTTCAAATTATTCATACTCTTAATGACACTGGAATCGATTGAAGCTAGTTGGTTATTGCTAATTGTCAAGTTACTGATTTGATGAGAATAGTTGGTCTGGGTGAGATACTCAATGTTGTTGTTATCCAGATGAAGCGATATGTTTCCGTACGTAGCGTGAGGGAGCGCTAGCGGAAGTGATATCAGACCCGCATCTCGGCAGTCCACAAAGAGGTCATAGGAATTTGGACGTTCCTGACAAAAACAACCAGACGGACAGCTAGTTGTCCGGTTACAGACGAATTCGTCAAGTTCAATGTCATGAAAGAAGTCGATGCCACGCAGATGGGGTGGCCATGTACACCTCATGCGAGACTCTTCGATTTTGAAGTAGAACAGAAGCGACTCGTGTAGCGCGCTGACATAAACGTAGGGCTGACAGTCGCAGTGGAAGGGGTTTTCCGTCACGTTGATGTTGAAGGTTAAAAACTCGGTGAGGTAGTCGCCATTAAATCCAGGATGGTATACTGTTATCGTGTCCGTATTTAGGCTTGTTAGCTGATTGTACTGGAGCTGTATATCGAATTCATATTCTTCAGTTAGATCATACGACCAGTTCATTTTGTTGGTGAATGAAGCAATGAAATTGTGTTGAAAGTTCCAATGGACGTCCAGCTTGTCATTTTGATCTGTCTGTGGGATGTAGGGCCACGGCTCGAAAGAAACTAGACTGTTGTAGGACAATTCAACGGACTTGATTAGTGCCATGTCTTTGTGAAACACATTAAACCCAATGTCACTGATGTTGTTGTGTGAAAAGTTTATAGTTTCTAGATTGCTGAGATGCACTCCTTGGCCCATGAACAGGTCGTCTGCCAGGGCCACAAGCATGTTGTTGCTGGCATCGAAGTTCTTCAGGCTGCGCATGTTCTTCAGCAGCCCGGACGGCAATGAATTAATCTGGTTATGAGACAGAGATATGGAAAAAAGGTTCCAAAAGTCATCAAAAACATCACCATCTAGTGTTTGTAGACTGTTTCCGGACAAGATTAGTGTAGTAGCGTTTTTCGGACAATCTACCAAGTCATTTTTTTGTAGAATCACGAGACTCGGGCTCAAAACACCCGATAGGTCTGCGGCTCCAGACACACTGCTATACGGACATGTAGCGATGGTCGTAAAAGACTGGAGGGCTAACATCCACACTATTGTCAGATACAGTAATACGTACACGGGAGGCATGGTTTTATCTCATGAATCCCTCAGCAGATCTTCCTCATATATTACAGTATCGGTGGCCTCCCACACGTGTTGCCTCCTCATATATTACAGTATCGGTAGCCTCCCACACGTGTTGCCTCCTCCTATATTACAGTATCGGTGGCCTCTAACACGTGTTGCCTCCTCATATATCACAGTATCGGTGGCCTCCCACACGTGTTGCGTCCTCATATATTACAGTATCGGTGGCCTCCCACACGTGTTGCCTCTCAAACGTCAACACCTTCCGAACAGCTGTGGTACATGAAGCTGCGTCTCGGAGGAAGTATCTGAAACATTATATAAAACTAAAATAATCGATCCGAAAGGATTGTGGATTGTATGTGTTGATACTAAAAGTGTGTGAATATACTTTGAAATCAGTTGTTTTCGTGGAGCCATTTTTTATGTTGGTTTCCCAAAGAAAACTGCGTTTCTCGGGTACATGATTTTTTGAATTACGAGAACCAAATAAAACGAAGAATTGCTTTATGTCAAACTTGTAACTACTACGTGGATGTATGAATTCGTGGATGAAGATTACCTATGAAATCAACGAAATTACAAACCCCACGAAAATAAGTAATTTCACAGTATCCAACTGAGATACGCAGTCATCTGCCCATTGTTTAAAAAATTGTTCAAAATTGACCGTGTTATAAACTTCCGCTATTAAACCTCATTACGTGTATTCTACAGGCAAATATGTTTTCAAATGTGAATGTCTGCCAAAAAATAAATCGGAGACCGTTCGTTCGAAGCTTGGTTTTTAAAGAGTCGTTACATATAGTTAACATTTTTAAATGACTTTGTTTGTACCGGCTCATTGTTTATACCACCAAATATGTATCACACTTGAATACAAGATACATGCTGGCGCTGTATTTTGTTAATACAGAGTTTTGACGGTAAAGTGCAAATCGTACTGAATATCAAATTGCAAGTCGAATATGTAATGAAGGACGTATTTTTGGGCAAAATTTCAACACTTTAAATGTTGAGATAGATTTTGGAATTCATTTCGATTGGAAATCTCCTGCTTACCGTGGACTTTAATACAATTATTTTCTGACCCGTGCAAATTAACGTTCATTAAAGCCAGCAAAAGATTTTAGAAACAGATTTTCACTCTAAATGATATTTTTGTAAATGTTTGTTGGGAGAAGATGTTAATTAGTCGTTATAACTTGTACCTTATGCCTTGTCTAAATATGTTAATACTTACGTTAAAATTAGTCCCGACATTTGCCTAAACATTTGTTCGAAATTGGCAGTGTTTTATACTTCCGCTAGCAAACCTTCATTATTTCTTGTACTGTAATGTAGTTATGTGTAAAAGGATTAGTGCAGCACGTGCTTGCTATGGTCAACTGCCAAAAGTGAAATCCGACCCCATTTCGATTCGTAAATGCTTGATATATTAGAGTCGTGACCTTAAATGTTCAAATCAATATTATAGAGAATCAGTTTAAATCAATACGTTTCTTGCCTTCAGATAACGACATTAAATTTAAATATATACAATATAGTAAATTGACTTCAATATTTCTGAAAAATATCCTGTCAGAACCTGACGTTGACTTTGAGGACAAGCTAACCAGGCTTTGGACCTAGGTCCTGTTATCCTTTTTCTAATCCTCATACATGACGCGTTAAAACGAAATCACATGAAATGAAAAATAGGATAAACTTAAGATTTTTAAAGTGTCGTATACAGAGGTTATTTTTCTTCACAGCGTAGATTTGTTTTAAATAAGTATTCTCCCAGGATTTGCCTCAACACCGCGTGTAAGTTCTCAGGCAGTGAAACAACTATTTACACAAGACAGAACCTTATACATTCTTACACTTAGATAACAGATAGAAGCTCACTAGATTATATACTTTGATTACAGACAGAACCCCGGCCGTAAGTTCTTATAACTTAATTACAGAGAGAAACACACTATAGTTCTTATACTTCGATTACAGACAGAACCTCATTAGTTTTTATACTTAGGACCTGTTTATGCGGAAGACCCGGTTCGTCTGTTTTTAAATGTTACATTTTTCGGTATACGTAGGCATTGAATCAGCATCTGATTACTAGGTCCGATCTTCAACTGTTTGGATCGCGATAAACGAAAGCGGCCTTAAAGTATACTTAAGATTTCAGACAGAATCTCATTATTTCTAATACTTTAATTACAGAGAGAACCTCATTAATACTTAGAATACAGACAGAACCTCATTAGTTTTTATATAATTTAATTACAGAAAGAACCTCACTAGATATTATACTTATATTACAGACATAACCATACTGAAATTACAGAGAGTATATATAGTATTACAAGTGAATGTATATGATGTGAATCAGTTTGAATTCATATGCATTACCAGAACCTATATGTTAATGTTCCGTAATGACTGTAAAAAAGTTAGTTAAAACTTTTAATTCAACAAATATATAATATGTAGTATTCTACGCTACATCCAGCTAGCAATCTTTTTTTTAAACAATTCTAAACTTTTACTTACAAATCTCGGATGCGTTACCTCCTTGGGACGTTGGTAGAATTGTGAAATGTCATTACTTGAACTGGATGGTAAGACTGCCGATTGTTTGCTCTGCGCATTAGTATTGGTCGTAGGGTATACAGGTAGCTACCCGGAAGAAAATAATATTTTTAAGTAGTGGAAAAAACCTCTTACGCGGTAAGGTAAACCGTGAGGCTATTAATAACCCTTGTTAGCTAATTATCGCCAGTGACGTTGAATTGGTTGGTGTGTGTGTGACCATACAGATGACAGCTAGTCTACAGGTTCGATCTTGTTGGTTTTGAAACTTAGGGATTTAAACATTTCACAGCCAATAGTACAAAACTTCGGATGATATACGATATATATGTGACAAGGGCTATGATTGCCTATCCGTCAACTTTAAAGGTAAATCGGGGGGAAACCCACGTTTAGTATTCTTAGTGTTACATTTTGTTCCGGCTTTTTCGGTACTTGGAAGCAATAATCGACCTGTATTTCGTATTTTTAACATATGAACATTAAAATTGTGGAATAGTACTACGTGACAAACTTATTTTATTTATATATTTATAAATCTTATCACTACAGACTGTAATCCTTCATGTGCATCTACATTCAAATTATAAGAGTCTTAGGTCACACCTTGCCTCAATATGTATAATTCACATAAACGCACATAATACATCCAAAAGAGTGAGCTGTATTGAGAGGGTGTCCCGATTAAAGCCTATAAGGTATGCATTACATCGGCTACTTATTACTGTCCAAAAAAAATATAAAACTATTTTTATTATTCTGATGTTAATATATATTTTAATGGTTATATTTATGGAAAGTTCAGAACTTTGCTCTTTGATACTTGATGGCGATCGACAAGTGGGATGAATGAGAAGAGATTACACACGTCACGTGCATGTCCCACTCCAACAACTCACTTTGCTGCTGTGGTCAGTAAGATATTCCAAAATGTATCGCGGCTAACACTGTTGAACACTCCCATGCTTGATGAACAATAACGTTTATCCTTCCTGTGACGTCATCAAGTCTATTTAAAGGAATGGTGTCTGCTATTTCGGTAGTTTTGGGGAGATCAGTCAAACATTTAGGTGGTGTTATCGACTTTTCTGAATGATGTCAAAACATCAGAGGATTTACCTGTATTCAAGGTTTCTAATGTAATTACAGAAAGAACCTCACTAGATATTATACTTATATTACAGACAGAACCTCACCATTACTGAAATTACAGAGAGTATATATAGTATTAAAAGTGAATGTATATGATGTGAATCAGTTCGAATTCATATTCATTACCAGAACCTATATGTTAATGTTCCGTAATGACTGTAAAAAGGTTAGTTAAAACTATTAATTCAACAAATATATAATATGTAGTATTCTACGCTACATCTAGCTAGCAATCTTTTTTTTAAACAATTCTAAACTTTTACTTACAAATCTCGGATGCGTTACCTCCTTGGGACTCTGGTAGAATTGTGAAATGTCATTACTTGAACTGGATGGTAAGACTGCCGATTGTTTACTCTGCGCATTAGTATTGGTCGTAGGATATACATGTAGCTACCGGGAAGTAAATAATATATTTAAGTAGTGGAAAAAACCTCTTACGCAATAAGGTAAACCGTGAGGCTATTAATAACCCTTGTTAGCTAATTATCGCCAGTGACGTTGAATTGCAATTGGTTGGTGAGTGTGTGACCATACAGATGACAGCTAGTTTACAGGTTCGATCTTGTTGGTATTGAAACTTAGGGATTTAAACATTTTACATGCAATAGTACAAAACTTCGGATGATATACGATATATATGTGACAAGGGCTATGATTGCCTATCCGTCAACTTTAAAGGTAAATCGGGGGGGAAACCCACGTTTAGTATTCTTTGTATGACATTTTGTTCCGTTTTTTTCGGTACTTGGAAGCAATAATCGACCTGTATTTCGTATCTTTAACATATGAACATTAAAATCGTGGAATATTACTACGTGACAAACTTATTTTATTTATATATTTATAAATCTTATCACTACAGACTGTAATCCTTCATGTGCATCTACATTCAAATTATAAGAGTCTTAGGTCACACCTTGCCTCAATATGTATAGTCCATATAAACGCACATAATACATCTAAAAGAATGAGCTGTATTGAGAGGGTGTCCCGACTAAAGCTTAAGGTATGCATTACATCGGCTACTTAATACTGTCCAAAAAAAATATAAAAATATTTTTATTATTCTGATGTTAATATATATTTTAATGGTTATATTTATGGAAAGTTCAGAATTTTGCTCTTTGATACTTGATGGCGATCGACAAGTGGGATGAATGAGAAGAGATTACACACCTCACGTGCATGTCCCACTCCAACAACTCACTTTGCTGCTGTGGTCGGTAAGATATTCCAAAATGTATCGCGGCTAACACTGTTGAACACTCCCATGCTTGATGAACAATACCGTTTATCCTTCCTGTGACGTCATCAAGTCTATTTAAAGGAATGGTGTCTGCTATTTCGGTAGTTTTGGGGAGATCAGTCGAACATTTAGGTGTTGTTATCGACTTTTCTGACTGAAGTCAAAACATCAGAGGATTTACCTGTATTCAAGGATCTTGAATGCAATCACAGGGGCATGTCACATGCACAGGGGCTTGAGAAGTTATTACAGCTATACTTTGACCTAAAATAAGGTGTTCAAAGTAATTTTAAACGTTTAACCCAAAAAACACGTAAAATTACGTATACTCTGAACTTTAATATTTAAACACTAGTTTATAATCTCGACATATTCTGTTTTCCTTCTTTATACACAAACAATGTACGTATTTAACGTGCGTCAACGTTTCAAGAGCGAATTGTCCTTTTGTAAAGCTATGACTTAAATGCAAAAGCAAGTAAGATTTATTTGAATTCTAATTGAAAAATTAAAATACTACAATAAATAATTATTATATACCAAAACCCCATTCCCTATGAAATTGATCTTATTGTCCAATCGTCACTTAATAAGTCAATGGAACTGCTGTGCTACATACATTGAATTACAAGCATTGTGTCGCATGCACAATGGATGACAATAGGAATCACCAGTGATGCTATACACATGTTAGGTACTGGTCGTACTGTTGTTGGACGGATTGGTACCTCCTGCTTATACGTAAACATTACCCATTGTCAGTGCACGTGTGAAATTTTCACCGTCACTTATGTAAACAGTCACTGCTAACAATAATTCACAACTTAGATTGACAGTCTTACAACTGGTGTAACAATTAGCCTAGTACACACAGATCACCTGGTGAAAGGAGACAACATGATGATAAAGTAGGTATCTTAACTAGTTTACCAGTTAAACCGACTCCAGAAGTAAGTGAATTGATATTTCTTCATTAGAAAGAAAGTATTACCAAGAATACCAAACAATTAGGTATGACCAGCTTTAGTTATTCTACCAGCTCATGAATGAGGATTTTCTGTCATTGGTATTGTCTACTGTTCATACAATGTCAGTTTAGAATATGATGTCAAATTTACCTGTAAAGTTGGCTGAACACAATGTCAACTTTACAAACAATGTCAACTTTATAAACAAATTCAAGCAAACATTTTCATCTTAACATACAATGTCAGCTTTACATACGATGTCAACTTTACATACGATGTCAGCTTTACATACAATGTCAGCTTTATAAACAAATTCAAGCAAACATTTTCATCTTAACATACAATGTCAGCTTTACAAACAATGTCAACTTTACAAACATTGTCAGCTTTATGTACAATGTCAACTTCACAAACATTGTCAGCTTTATGTACAATGTCAACTTCACAAACATTGTCAGCTTTATGTACAATGTCAACTTCACAAACATTGTCAGCTTTATGTACAATGTCAACTTCACAAACATTGTCAGCTTTATGTACAATGTCAACTTCACAAACATTGTCAGCTTTATGTACAATGTCAACTTTACAAACAATGTCAGCTTTGAGTACAATGTCATCTTTGTGTACAATGTCAACTTTATGTACAATGTCAACTTTACAAACATTGTTAGCTTTATGTACAATGTCAACTTTATGTACAATGTCAACTTTGTGTACAATGTCAACTTTATGTACAATGTCAACTTTATGTACAATGTCAACTTTGTGTACAATGTCAACTTTATGTACAATGTCAACTTTATGTACAATGTCAACTTTGTGTACAATGTCAACTTTATGTACAATGTCAACTTTATGTACAATGTCAACTTTGTGTACAATGTCAACTTTATGTACAATGTCAACTTTATGTACAATGTCAACTTTGTGTACAATGTCAACTTTATGTACAATGTCAACTTTATGTACAATGTCAACTTTGTGTACAATGTCAACTTTATGTACAATGTCAACTTTATGTACAATGTCAACTTTGTGTACAATGTCAACTTTATGTACAATGTCAACTTTATGTACAATGTCAACTTTGTGTACAATGTCAACTTTATGTACAATGTCAACTTTATGTACAATGTCAACTTTGTGTACAATGTCAACTTTATGTACAATGTCAACTTTATGTACAATGTCAACTTTGTGTACAATGTCAACTTTATGTACAATGTCAACTTTATGTACAATGTCAACTTTGTGTACAATGTCAACTTTATGTACAATGTCAACTTTATGTACAATGTCAACTTTGTGTACAATGTCAACTTTATGTACAATGTCAACTTTATGTACAATGTCAACTTTGTGTACAATGTCAACTTTATGTACAATCTCAACTTTATGTACAATGTCAACTTTATGTACAATGTCAACTTTGTGTACAATGTCAACTTTATGTACAATGTCAACTTTATGTACAATGTCAACTTTGTGTACAATGTCAACTTTATGTACAATGTCAACTTTATGTACAATGTCAACTTTGTGTACAATGTCAACTTTATGTACAATGTCAACTTTGTGTACAATGTCAACTTTACAAACATTGTCAACTTTACAAACAATGTCAGCTTTGTGTACACTGTCAACTTTATGTACAATGTCAGCTTTGTGTACAATGTCAACTTTACAAACAATCTCAGCTTTATGTACAATATCAACTTTATGTACAATGTCAACTTTATGTACAATGTCAACTTTGTGTACAATGTCAACTTTATGTTCAATGACAGCTTTGTGTACAATGTCAATTTTACAAACAATCTCAGCTTTATGTACAATGTCAACTTTATGTACAATGTCAACTTTGTGTACAATGTCAACTTTATGTACAACGTCAACTTTACAAACAATGTCAGCTTTATGTACAATGTCAGCTTTATGTACAATGTCAACTTTATGTACAATGTCAACTTTATGTACAATGTCAACTTTATGTACAATGTCAACTTTATGTACAATGTCAACTTTATGTACAATGTCAACTTTATGTACAATGTCAACTTTATGTACAATGTCAACTTTATGTACAATGTCAACTTTATGTACAATGTCAACTTTGTGTACAATGTCAACTTTATGTACAACGTCAACTTTACAAACAATGTCAGCTTTATGTACAATGTCAGCTTTATGTACAATGTCAACTTTATGTACATTGTCAGATTTGTGTACAATGGCAACTTTACAAACATTGTCAGCTTTATGTACAATGTCAGCTTTGTGTACAATGTCAACTTTATGTACAATGTCAACTTTATGTACAATGTCAACTTAACAAACAATGTCAACTTTGTGTACAATGTCAACTTTATGTACAATGTCAACTTTACAAACAATGTCCACTTTATGTACAATGACAACTTTACAAACATTGTCAGCTTTACAAACAATGTCAGCTTTGTGTACAATGTAAACTTTATATACAATGTCAACTTTACAAACAATGTCAACTTTACAAACATTGTCAGCTTTGTGTACAATGTCAACTTTGTGTACAATGTCAACTTTACAAACAATGTCAGCTTTGTGTACAATGTAAACTTTATGTACAATGTCAACTTTACAAACAATGTCAACTTTACAAACATTGTCAGCTTTGTGTACAATGTCAACTTTGTGTACAATGTCAACTTTACAAACAATGTCAGCTTTGTGTACAATGTCAACTTTACAAACAATGTCAGCTTTGTGTACAATGTCAACTTTACAAACATTGTCAGCTTTATGTACAATGTCAACTTTGTGTACAATGTCAACTTTATGTAAAATGTCAACTTTGTGTACAATGTCAACTTTGTGTGTGCAATGTCAACTTTATGTACATTGTCAGCTTTACAAACAATGTCAGCTTTGTGTACAATGTCAACTTTATGTACAATGTCAGCTTTGTGTACACTGTCAACTTTACAAACAATCTCAGCTTTATGTACAATGTCAACTTTATGTACAATGTCAACTTTGTGTACAATGTCAACTTTATGTACAATGTCAGCTTTGTGTACAATGTCAACTTTACAAACAATCTCAGCTTTATGTACAATGTCAACTTTACATTGTCGGCTTTTAAGACACATCAAGTCGAGTTGAACACTGACAATACCAAATCGAAAATCAAAAGCTTTGAAATGTGACATGAGCGGTCACTTTCCTACTTCAGTTTCAGATTCTACTGTTTATATGAAAGTTGTGAAAGCTTACAAAAACACAGGGTACCGTATTTAGATGTTATTTATTTACGATAGGGAGTACAATCAGTGAATACAAAGAAATTTACTTCAACATATTTCATGAATTTCAAATTCGAAAAACATATGTACAACATTTTACGTTAATCAAGTTAAAGTTTACACAGGTGAACTGAACCAGCTTCGTATGAACATACATGTATCTATTTTGAATGGTACAACAAGGCAGATAATGAGATTTGTGCAGCCCAAAAAGCCCTCTATTTAGTATCATTTACGAAAGCTCAAGGGAGACTACAAGATTAATTGGATGTGCAGTTGCCTCCCTTGCATTGTCAAATTCATTATAGACTGGGTTAACAACCCATGTTGTAATATATATATAAATACTAAGCTAACCTGAAATGTCGTATCCGTGATAAGAACACTCGCGAAGGAAATGCTTAATGTCCTACAAGAACATGGATTTGACAACCCGGAAACCCTGGATCACTTGTACTTCAAGATACATTGTATTTATTTTTGCATGAATTTGTTTGTACAACAAATCGTAAAAATAAAATCTTGCAAATATCTAGCAAATATATATTCAGAAACATAAACAAGCTATATATGACTGTTTTTGTTGATGATTGCAGAAAAAAAATCATAATTTTGAAAGAGGATCTTTGCGTTGTCTGGATGAACGGAGAGCATTACCAATAAGTAAACTCTGGTTAATGAAGTCATCGATGAGTTAGACAAGTGCAGTGTTTCACCAACAGCTTGAAGCTAGACTAAATAGTATCAAATATATATATATATATATATATACATCAATTTGTGTTGCACCAAACTCGATTAGAGCCAGTGATTATGCTGAATTATTTTCCCATAATGTACCAGTTCACCAGCACATTTAAAGCACTATTTGTGTAATAAATGCATTTTTTCTCTCCATGCTTTACGAATTCTTCTGTGGTACTTTGATGCAAACCTGAAATGAGAAAAAAAAAGGAAATTACATTCCAAGATGATCCTATATGCATTGTGGTGCTTTGAGGAATATAACAAAACTTCTAATCAATCATATGCTTGATATACAGCGCAACATGTGTATACACCAACTACTGGAGATCTAAGAAAAGCCATTCGGATTGATATGTCTCGCCTATGCCCCCCGCTTTGGCCATCAACGCACATATCTGAGAAATTAATTTAAACGCATAAACTGAAATGTTGATGGAGATGCTGACAAAGTCAATGGACCATGAAAGTTAGGCTGCATCCAGCATATGATGTATCTATTGTCCAAGTTTGGTTGGTGTAGCACCTCTATTTTCAGTGAAACTAACTTAAACGCAAAAACTTAATGCCGACATGGCAGCATCAACATTAATTTTTAGCATTTAAGTAAGTTTATAATAATGCTCCACCGGAGGAAAAACAACACCTTACTCTCGCTTCCACTTCGTGGTGGCGAAACAAAACCCTTACACAAGATTTTTAGAGTTTCATTTTCATTAAACAATTCCTTCTGTGACACTTATATTATGTGTGACTGATAATATTAGTGTCTCCAAGAATTACATATGTACATACATAATTTGGTTGATCAGACACAATACATGGGTGGGGGGAGGCTATACTTTAATTAAACAGAGTTATGCCAATCTGTTTACAGTGAACAGGTGAGAAACTATTATCACACAAACAGAATACACAGAGGTGATACTTACAGCCTTGGTCTCGGTGTAAGCCTCAAGTCCATACTCTCCAAGTTCCCGACCGTTACCAGACATCTTGTAACCCCCGAACGGTTGGGCCGCATCGAAAATATCAAAACAATTCACCCTGAAATAAAAATATACACACTTTTATAGTGACGCAACCAAAACATCAAGAGTTTACCCCGAAATCAGAATATCAAGCAGTTCAGTTTTGATATATGAGACGTTACCTGGAAGTTTAAGGTCAAGTAAAGGATGTATATCAACATTACTAGACAGAGACTGAGTTGATACTTGGGAGATGAGAGTGAGGCACACAGGAGAATCTATGACATTGTCACCAAAGACCGTGAAGATCTATAATGAAAGTTTTACCACACAGAGCCAGCGCGAAGACTGTTGGCCAGGTACAAAGCCTTATCGAGGTCCTGGGTGTGGACAGCGGCAGCCAGACCATATATTGTGTCATGTGACCTCTCAATCAGCTCTTCAATGGTCTTGAATTTCATGATCTGCATCACAGGGCCGAAAATCTGGAAAGACAATGTAACACGACTAATGACAATATTTATTGTACAACTGCTTATGTAGTTCTGTCATTTAGTGTGAACATTTACATCAATGCAGGATTCTGAAAACTGTAATTTTTACCAAAACAACAATTAATTCAAGTGAAGATACATCTAAATAGTTGTACATGTACCATAATATCTTCAATGAAATAAATCTTCTTTGCAAGCACACAATTTAATTGATAAAAAATTCACAAAAAAATGTGATTTACTGTTAGTGACAAATCAGGCACTTTTTTCAACAGATCTGTTTTGAACCTTTTTTAAAAAGGGTTTGTCTGGAGAATTCAATGAGGAGAATATTGCTATTATAACCAACCTCCTCCTTGGCAATCCTCATATTGTCCTGAACATCCGTGAAGACAGTGGGCTCTATAAAGTAACCTTTGTCCCCTACTCGGTTCCCGCCGACCGCAAGCTTAGCTCCCTCTTTCTTCCCGCTGGATATCAGGGACAGGATCTTCTCCATCTGTTCCTGGTCCACCTGTCACACATACCTCTCACTGTTATCACTTTACACAAAGGTTATAAGAATCACAAAGCTATCCTCATTATACTAGTACACTCAAACCAGTCGTTATCAACATCAAACAGAACTCAAACAACTATATGGCTGGATATGACAATGTGCCAGTGAGGTCGGGTTAAAGTGGAGATAACTCTAGTTGACCAAAAATTTACATCAGTTATTTGAGGATGTCCTTGATTGAACCCAGGGCCCTGGATTCATGAATTCCTTCTTGTGCTCAAGCATGGATTCTTTGCCTAAACAAAATTTCAAATGATATGTGATAGAAAACTATATACAATAACTTCAATTATATATATATTTACAGTATTGAACTTTGTGTCTCTAAAATTCCTCCAAATCATTCACAAAATGTGAATTTGCTTTAATTTTTCACCAGAACCAGAAATTGGGATTGAGCACAGAATCTGAATTTGAGCAAGAGAACACTTTCGTGAACATGGTGTCAGTATAGTCAGTTTCTACTATAATGTAAGAAAAGATCTTTCTGTAAAAAGTCAATTATGTTGCAGTGTCCTAATCTCTGATAATGAATGATTCAGTAAAAAAAATATTCTGAAAATATTTACCATGGAGAAACAAAAATCTTACTTTTACTATCAGTACCAGATTATCATATCATATATTATAAATCTATGCTTGTAATGAACATCACACTTCAATTTTATGAGTATAACTTACCTGAGGTCCTTGTTCATTTCCAGAATCAAAGGGATTTCCCACAGTGCGCTGTTTTGCTCTCTCAACACTGCGCTCCACAAATTCATCGTAAACGCTTTCCTGTACAAATGTCCTAGACCCAGCACAGCAGCACTGACCCTGGTTAAAGAACAGGGCGAAGTGAGAATTCTCCACCGCATTCGCCACTGCAGAGTAAACAAGAGGATCATTACTTCATGGTTCAGGAAACAAGAGTACATTCATCAAAATATTGTTAGGATTCCACAAACACATTTTGTTTTGTTTTTAAAAGACTCACTGTCAGCGTCGGCTAAGACAATGTTGGGACTTTTCCCTCCCAGTTCCAAGGTCACTCTCTTCAGGTTACTGCTGGCAGCCATGACAGGTATCAGTTGCCCGATCTGAAACCAGAGTACAAAAGTCACCAGGATAATGTCAGAACAGTATATACATACATTACATAATATGTCTTATTTTACCTAGGAATACAACAAAACCATTTACAATATATAATACTCTCTTGGAAAAAGCATTTATACTCAATTTGAAAAAAAGGTCGACATTATTTTTTTAAGCTTAACTGAGAAGTCCAATTTGAATAGACATCTATTGTGACCACAAGTAATACTAATGAAAGGCCATCATCACACCTCCCACTTCTGTGGATCCAGTGACGGTCAACTTAAAATCATCCAACCTACTGCTTACTTCTTCGGAGCTTCACCAGTAAAATATTCAATCACACCTCTACCATCATTAGGTACCCACCTTAACCCGTACATATCAATACTTCCTTCCTCTGTTAAGCAAGTGAAGGTCACCAAGTCCTGTACAATTCAATACCTCTTACCAACCTCTGTGGAGCTAGTGAAGGTCACCTTGTCTGGTAATATTCACTTCCTCCTAGCTACCTATCTCTGTGGAGCTAGTGAGGTCACCTTGTCTTGTAGAATTCACTTCCTCCTACCTACCTACCTCTTTGGAGCTAGTGAAGGTCACCTTGTCTGGTAGAATTCACTTCCTCCTAGCTACCTACCTCTGTGGAGCTAGTGAGGTCACCTTGTCTTGTAGAATTCACTTCCTCATAACTACCTACCTCTGTGGAGCTAGTGAGGTCACCTTGTCTTGTAGAATTCACTTCCTCCTACCTACCTCTGTGGAGCTTGTGAAGGTCACCTTGTCTGGTAGAATTCACTTCCTCCTAGCTACCTCTGTGGAGCTAGTGAAGGTCACTTTGTCTGGTAGCATTTTCTACCTCCTACCTACCTCTGTGGAGCTAGTGAGGTCACCTTGTCTGGTAGAATTTTCTACCTCCTACCTACCTCTGTGGAGCTAGTGAAGGTCACCTTGTCTGGTAGAATTTTCTACTTCCTACCTACTTCTGTGGAGCTAGTGAGGTCACCTTGTCTTGTAGAATTCACTTCCTCCTACCTACCTCTGAGGAGCTAGTGAAGGTCACCTTGTCTGGTAGAATTTTCTACCTCCTACCTACCTCTGTGGAGCCAGTAAAGGCTACTTTGTCTACATCCATGTGCTCAGCAATGGCAGCTCCAGCTGTTGGTCCATACCCGGGGATGATGTTGAGTACACCTGGTGGAAATCCAGCCTACAAACCACAAATTCATGAATCTGAGGTAAAAAGCTGACTTACACACAAAACCTTAATACAGAAGCTACTGATGATCAATGCCGATCTGGACATCATAGTCTTCTATTCAGACATCATCTGTCCTAAAACTGACAGCTAATCTTCTGTCCAGATATCATCTGTCCTAGAACTGACTGCTAATCTTCTGTCCAGATATCACCTGTCCTTAAACTGACCGCTAATCTTCTGTCCAGATATCACTTGTCCTAAAACTGACCGCTAATCTTCTGTTCAGACATCACCTGTCCTAAAACTGACCGTGCTAATCTTCTAAAAAGGCATCATTTGTCCTATAACTGACATCTAAAAATCAATTTCAAACATGTAGTGCATTTACATTAATTTACTCTAAAACAATGGAGTATTGTAACTAACTAAGAAATAAATAGATGATAAAATTCTTTGAAAATACTGACCTCTTTGGCGAGCTGTGCAATATACAGGGCAGTGAGAGGTGTCTGCTCAGCTACCTTCATTACCACTGTGTTTCCCATAGACAGGGCTGGACCCAGCTTCCATGCCTGCATCAGTAGGGGGAAGTTCCACTGCAAAATAAATATGTTACTTACACAAATTTTGAGAGAAATTCTTCTATCATTCCCATTATCAGCTTTATAATTCCTAATATCCTTATTATAATTACAACCGTTCTGGTATCACAGCTATAATCTATATCTGAATAGGTATGGTATCCCCCCTATAGCTATGACAGTTCTGGTATCACTGCTATAATCTATATCTGAATAGGTATGGTATCCCCCCTATAGCTACGACAGTTCTGGTATCACTGCTATACTCTATATCTGTATAGTAATGGTATTCCCCCTATAGCTACAACAGTTCTGGTATCACTGCTATAATCTATATATGTACAGTTATGGTATTCCCTCTATAGATACAACAGTTCTGGTATCACAGCTATAATCTATATCTGTACAGATATGGTATTCCCTCTATAGATACAACAGTTCTGGTATCACAGCTATAATCTATATCTGTACAGTTATGGTAT